CTGAGCCTCCGCGGTGTGTACATACACGTCGGTAAAGGCAACTGCTCAGCCCCCATGGCGTGTACACTCAGCTGTACGCACACGGGCCGGTCCTCTTCGCCGAGCTGTTTTGTCGAAGCGCGGGTGTTCCTTTGCGCACTGTTTGTTCTTTCGCTGAAGAGGACAGGCCTCCGTTACCCCGTGCTGTTTGCCTTGCATATTTGCACTGACTGAAGCCGTGATGTGCTGGGAGGGGTGCTCGGCGCTTTCTTTTTCGCGCATAAGGAAGAACGGCGATATACTTAACGAGTCTGTATAGATGCGAACTGTATATAATGGTTAGTGTGCGCACTGAGTGAGCGCTTGCTACATTGCAGTGGCGTAGCCAAGTGCAGTGCCACATGGGGCCCGTGCCTCCCCCCCTCAAAAAAAAAAAAAAAAAAATTCGGCTTACGCCCTGCTACACCGTATCAAGTTTGCTGGTAGTTTGAGCGCTTAACTTGTGCACATTGAAATAAAGTAAGAATTATTTTGATTGATTGCTTGATTGATATGAGGGTTTAACGTCCCAAAACCACCATAAGAATTATTTAAATAAAAATTGTATTTGGCAGTTTCAGCCAAAGGTGGAAACGTATTGTTGCGATGACAGGGCTTAAGCTACTTCCTCGAACAGTTGTTCGGCCACCGTTCGTGGTTAAGAAATGCGCAGTGAAGTTATCTGGCAAAATTTTATGAGCGTACCTTAGCAAAATTATTGTTAAAATTTTGTTGTTAGTGATGTTCATCTCTCTACTAGAGAGAAAACAACGCCGTCATGCGTTGTAGTACAAAGGATGATGTCACAGCTCCGGCAATGCACTTCGGAGGGGCCATGCCGATTCAGCGCAGCCCAGAGTAGATTATGGCGGTGCCCGAAGAGCCGCCTGTGAAGAGGTCACTGTGCTTGCAAAAATAGCAGAATCCTATAGACACTATACGGTCTGAAAAAATGGTCCGTGTGCGAAGGAACACCTGTTGTATACCCGCCGATTCGCCTCTGCATAACAAAGAACAAAAACGCCATCCGTTACAGTTAGTGCTTACAAAATAGCACAAACAAGTCAGCGCAGGTATTTACGTTTCATGTGCAGAGTGGCTGCTAAGCTCCAATTAGTCAGGATGCCTGGCCGTGTGAACTAGTATACGCCTACGTGTTTCAATACCTCGCCGTCTGGGGCATGTTGAAGGTCGCATATGTGGAAGAACTTTTCCATGGGCTCTATCGTCAGCGTAGCGTCGTCATTTTTCGTTTGCAGTATGTCCTTGCCAAACAAAGCCACACAAGCATGCCAATACGTTTATTTGCAGAAGAGGGTAGTAAAAGTAATTACTATAAGCGCCGTTTTAACACCTCGTGTAAACTGGCTTAGTAAATTGTTGTTTCTTTTATGTTCCTGTTAGTAAAACAAGCATTCATTGAAGCGTATGCCAGTTTTAAAAATAATTATGGAATGGATTTCGAAAATGTGTCTCCACAGTGGCGAAGAAGTGGGAAGAACTACTTGAACTTGTACACGATGTATCACTAAGTGTCGACCAACAGAATCAAATCGATCTTATTTTTTTTTTAGCGGTGAAGCTCCTTATTGCGTGGCTTGTGCGTCCCTCGTTGTAGTACGTAACCACCGGTGGCACATACCCGAAAGAGTGGTCCTTAGAGTGTCCGCTGGACGGCGGCACTTGTATATGATGAATACACGATGAAAAGATGTGAAATCGCTGTACTTGGAGTGTTCGCTGTATAGACGGATAGATGGACGGACGGACATACAGATGAACGAACGGACGCACAGACTGACAGAGGGACAGCCGCACGAACAGACACACGGACGGATGGACAGACAGACGAACGAATGGACAGAGGGAAGAGCGAACTCATCGACGGACGGGCGTACCGATGGTCACACGGATGGACGAGCACATGGACGGACGCATGGACGGGCGGAAACACGGACGGACTGATGAACGCTTCGCCCCACCAATCATCATTCACTCCGTGGATTTGCTGTGATTTTTTAGACGTCTCGAAAGCTTTCGACCGTGTGTCACGTGACAAACTAAGTGCTCGTTCTCACAGCCGTCAAACGACCCGTCGCGTTATGTGACATCAAAAAAAAAAAAAAAAAACGTAGAGAATACGGACAGACGGCGGTAGTTGCAAGGCCGAGCGCAGCAAATTTTTGTACAAATCCCTTTCTCCATGACCATGCAAACACCCAGTCGTTCTATCCCCGCGTTCTCTTGTGATCCCTTCTGTTCGTCAGGTGCGCCGAGGGGGAACCGGCCCTGGTGCAATGCGGAGTGGGGCTCCGTCCCCGCGCCGGCGATGGAAACTTATAGGGCTCGTTCCCACAGCCGTCAAACGCCCCGTCCCGTCACCGTGACGTCACTGGTTTTGATCAAGGGAGAGTATTTGCGACCTGTTTCTCTTCAAAAACGGGGATGACGGTGACGTAGAGCGATGCTCTAAGTTCATCGTCAAAATTGAACGAATCCACAACATCTGGTTGTGCACCTTGCAACAAACCACGCTGCAAGGTTCGCATACATATGCAAACCACCCAGGAAGCCGTTAGTACGTCGTCAAACTTCACCCCTAAAATTCGCGGCTCCTTCAATTGCGATAGCTCTAACGTTATATACATGCTCTTGTGCGCCGTCTTCCAAGAACAGCATATTGGCCATACAGAAACATCGTTCCGAATACACTTCAACAACCATAGATCGCATACGCTACCTAACCTCCCGCTCTCAAAACATATTCGCTTACCAGGGCACTCTTTCGAAAAAATTAGGGTCACTATACCTGAATCGGACTTTCATTCTCACGACGATCGGGAAATCCGCGAATCGTACCTCATCTACAAATTCAATACGGTGTCATCAGGCATAAACGAAAGTACAGGCACGCTTTCTAGCGTGCCCACCAAGCGTTATCAGCCTTAACCCACGGCCAGTATAGCGTCATTGGTTAAGCTTGTTGGATACCGTCTCTAATGCTTCTGTTATTGTGTACATTTGTGTATCCAAGGTTTAGAGTCACTTTTAATCGCCGCCGCTATCACGAATGTAGATGCAAGACTGTATTTGAACGCGCACATGCACTAAAAGTATCGACTACTCATCTTATTCATATCACAATGACTGAGCTGTATGTGACGCATAATCTGACTGATATCACGTGGTGTTTTGATATTCATGCTTTCATTGTAGTTTTATCATTATCTATCTCCGGTTCTTACAGAGTTATGCTGTGTGCGCGTAGAAGTGATTTCTGTTTTTTAGTGTTCTACATTTCTGTATATATATTTATGTTTTTTTCCATAATATCTAACTGTACCGTCATGAACACTTCACGCTATGAATTGTCTAGTCGCTGATATACGTCGCCGATCTGTATTTTACCATGTGAATCGTATTTATAAGCAAACGCGTTGACATGTACTTGTTACTTTGACAAAGGCTGGTCCACCAGCCTTTGTCAAAGCAATCGGTATATTGCACGGTATATTTGCTGACCAGTCAGTCAGCAAATATACCGTGCAAAACCAACGTGCGTCGGGCTCTATTTTTCTTTATTCTACCGGGACCAGCGTTACTTCCTCCCAGCTAACTTTAAACACAGTTTGAAAATATGCCGACGCATGCAATTACGACGCGACCAATTGTTGCTGACCGGTCCATGGAGTTTGTCAAACTTGTTCGCGTGTTCTAAAATATCGTTTAATTAGATCTGTTCCATTAAATTACTTTTGAAAAAACGAAAATGGTTGAAAAATTTCAATGAGAAAGTTGTAGATCGGTTTGCAAAACGTCGGATTAGAAAGTTTTGAACATTGTATTTCTTAAAGGAGCACCGACATCAAATTTACTTATGTTAAGATTTTTGCATCAACGAGTAGCTATCGACTCCCTAGTAGCGATTCGCGACCTAAAACGCATCTGAGGTGTGAATGAATATCTGTAATATTGAATAATATATCCGCTATCGAACGTGGTTCAATATGGGTATACGCGGCTTTTTCAGTGCGATCGCGCTCTTTCGCGTAGACAAGTGGCGGCCTCTCGCGGCGAGCTCTGTAACAACCGAGCGCGCCATGTTCAAATCAGCTAATGGTTGATAGATAGCCTTACTACGAGTGAATTTTAGGCTTATTCTGTAATTTGTCGAGAGAAGAGGAAGCTATTTTTGTGATGATTTTTTGTGAATTCCAGCCCGCGTGCTATGCTATAATATTTGGCTCGCGTGTTGTCGGGAGCCTTTACTACCGATCGGCAGTGTTTTCTGACCATGCTAAAAGGTGTTGCAGGGCCACTTTAAGGTCGTTCTAGTTAACGCGAACTTTCCTATATATTTAGCGTGGTCACCTTAAAATGAATGCTCCTTTACGAGTCGATTTAGCTTCCCTTTGAATTCTCACATTTCTTAAATGCACTCCTCTGAGCTCCACGACCGCAGTTCGCTGTTTTAACTTTAAAAATTGCTTAATTTCGTCTCTTTGTGAAGTAAGAGACATCCTGATCTTGCATCATCGTCATTGTTAAAGTACTGCACCCACCTGTGCACAGTTTTTTTTTTCCTTTATTATTAAATGTATATAAAGAGAGGTAAGTGCCAACGCGTCGCGCCGGCTTCGACATCCTTCCTGCAGGCTTTGCAACATTCGATGTGCAGATTTCTTAGGAAATTTCACGAGAAATGTGACATTAAAGCTTTGCTCACTCTCGTCTTCACTTCGACGAAGGCACGGGCATAGCACACAGAGCACTCGACTTCAGTTCCGCCTTGCCACATGGTGGTCCGGCTCATATCGGAGTGGCGCCTTCACGCGCCCTACGACTTTTTGCTTTCTTGAGGGCATGTACTGTTCGGGCGGACGTATACAACGTGGTACGCGCATGTATCGCGCGACAATGCTCTGCGTGTAGTACGGTGTATGGATGGAAATATTTATCGGCCCCGCACGTTTCGTGCGCAGGGACCTCCGGCGCAGGCGGGCCAGCCATTCAAGTTTACCGTATCCGAGACGTGCGACCGCATCAAAGAGGAGTTCAACTTTCTCCAGGCGCAGTACCACAGCCTCAAGCTCGAGTGCGAGAAGTTGGCCAGCGAGAAGACCGAGATGCAGAGGCACTACGTCATGGTGAGTGATGCCCGTCGACAAATCCTGCTCACCGCGTCCTTCGTTAAGGAAGGTTCAAGAGAGAATAAGTCGAGAGGTCTCTTTTCATTCGGTGTATGCTGAGTAGATTGAAGGGAATCATGGGCGTGCGCAGGGGACCAAGGTTTTAATGGAGCACCCCTTATACCGGGCTCGAGTCTTTTTTATATAATGTATGAAAAACAAAAAAGGAAAATGAAACGATGACTTGCCTCTCGCAATGACCTTTGCCTTTATTCCTTGACTCACCGGGAGTTAAATTGAAGATGGGAAGTGAATATTTCTTGGAATAAGACATCAGGATTATTGTCAAAAACCTGCAAGGCATTAACCCGGCTGTAATTGCTGGACAAGTCTGACTAAGTGTAATTGTGGGGCAGACTTCGCACCCTCGCATAAGGGGATTTCGAAGGGTGGGGGTAGTATGTAGGAAGGTCTTACTTATATGCACACCTGCAAGTTTGAGATCGTGTGCAAATAAGAAAACGTTTGTTGTACTTTTGTACGTACTTCTTATTCTTACACATTGGTTGTGACTAACGGTGGCTGCTCAGAGAAACGACAGGGTTCTTCAAGCGTTTCGCTCTCCTTGGCAGTGAGCGGTCATGGCTGTGTGGAAGCCGTTGCATTGCGCGTCCTCCAAGAAAAGGATGTGCTGCATGCGTACTTCAAATATCGTGGGCGACGAATGAGCTGGGACTTGTTTCATTTATAGGCATATGTATTCGAATCTTGCATGTGCAAGAACTGGGAACTGCAACGAAAGCTTTGTAGTTTCAAGTGAAATTTGCCGAAACGCGTGACTCAAACTAGACGTGCTTTTTGGAAAGGAAAATGTGCGCCCTCATTGCTCGTAAGATGCATGTTCTTGGTAACTAAGAGTACTTGTGCGCTCTAATGAAGGCTCCGTTTGTAGGCTAGTTCAGGTGAGGGTTATAGGATTTGAATAAAGATTGAAAAGGGAAGGAATGAGCTTTCCTTTAACCCATGTGTTCTCTTCTTTTCGGCAGTACTACGAGATGTCGTACGGTCTGAATGTCGAGATGCACAAGCAGGTAAGTGGTGCCTTTCTATGACTATGTAGCGCCCGCGCATTTTCGAAAAATATTGCAGTTAAAAAAAAAAAAACAAATGTTGGATTTTTTTTCTACAGACTGAGGTGGCGAAGCGGTTGAACGCCATCATCGCCCAGATCCTGCCATTCCTTTCTCAAGAGGTTAGTTCATTCAGGTTTTCGAATCGATAAAACGGCCCCTGCCGTTCAAATATCCACGGCATCCGAGGATCCGTTTTAGGGATTGGATAAGGTGGCGCGACTCTTCTGGCTGCCAGAATTGGAAGTGTCTCACACGATTACACGTAATAGTAACTCAAAATGTATTTGTGCTGCTGTATCGTAATGCCACAACATACAATTTTGGATGCATCTAACTTATCAAAATTGCGGTTGTTTGATGGTGTGTAATTGTATAAAATGCCTCTATTCATTTGCACAGCACTGCCGACATGAATGAACTTGGGCGCGCGCTTTACTGTCCACTGTAGTGTTAGCCCTGCTTTGGGTAAAACAGGCGAGCAGCATATATTTACCCACAAAATATTAGCAGAATGCAGCTATTGTAAAAAAAAATACCTGGTTCGTCGCCGCCGTGGCTGCATATAGCATCCGTGTGGGAGGCTAGCAGATATATATGAGTTTATTTCTCAGTCCGCATGCATAGGTCACGAACAGAGGCGTAGAAGACTAAGAAAGAACTTTATTGATAATGTTCAGTGAAGTTCATTTCGTGCGCGCCTCAGCCCCGGCCTATAGCCATAGACCCCGGCCCTTGGGCTCGGGCGTCTTCCTTGGCTCGCTGGATGGCCCGCAGTTGTTCTATAGACTAACGCATAGCTCAGCAGAGCCTCCTCCAAGCGTGCCCTGCGATTCAAGACTGCCTTTTCGTGGTTTCTGTCTGTTTTGTCCTCTTAAACTCGAGCACTCCCATAGTATGCGGGCAAGTGTTGCCCTTGCATCGCAAACCTTTCGTGGACAATACTCGTTATTGTATTTTTTTGAAGTGCGGGGTACCTGGGGGGCAGGGCTGTCGGATACTGTCGTCGTTACTTGGCGTAGCACATTGAGCGCGCCGCGTTTGTGCCGAGGAGAAGTGTTCTTCCTTTTGCTCTTCGAGCGCCTTCGTCATGATCACTTATCATCATCGAAAAAAAAAAGCAAATATAGTGCGCTTGGCGTAACGCAGGTAAAGCCACATATATAAATAGAAAAAAAAAACCAAGAGAAAGCAAGTGAGAGAACGGAAAAAATAGAAAGAGCGAGAAATATATTAAGAGAGAGGAAGAAATGATTAGAAATGAAAAAGAAAAAAGAGAGAAGTAAAGAAAAAGGAAAGGCTGCCCATGGCTCGGCCCTTCCTCCAGGCTTGGCGCCCCAAGCGGCCTTAAAGGGGCTCTGCAACATTTTTTGAGCATGGTGAGAAAACGCTGCCGATCGGTAGTAGAGGCTCCTGAGAACATGCGAGCCAGATATTAGAGCGCACCACGCGGCCTGAAATTCACAATAAATTATTAAAGTCAGCTCGAAATTGCTTTCTCTTCTCTCGATAAATGACGGAAAACGCTCAAACATTCCGCGTAGAAGGCCATCTATCCGTCATTGGCTGATTTGAACTTGGCGCGCTCGGTCGTAACAGAGATCGCCGCGGGAGGCCGCGATTTGTCCTCGAGTGCATGAGCGATCACCCTGAAAAAAAAAAAAAAACTGCGTATTCGTAGAAAAAAAAAAAGTGCTGAAGGTCAACGAGACGCGCATGATGTATTTTCTTTGCCCCTGTCATCCCTCCCTGCAGCCTCCAGCGCTTTCGCCGGGACGAGAAAAAATATAACGCGAATGCAGCGTGCAACAAATTTTTATAACTCCACTCGCACTGGACGGATTCTTAAAATTTTTGCGGCATTGAATTCGTGAGGCAATGAGCTCTTTTAGTGAATCCATTGAATGGTTACTTGAAAAAGTGTTTCAAGGCCTCTTTAATTTTTTGAAGGTGGCAAGTGTTAACCATTATGTATTGTGTGTGCGTTTGTATGTTTTTGTGTATACATACACATCAAAACTGAAAATCAAGTGGATTTAACCCCGCCCCCCTTCCCTCCATTCTCTGTGGTCGACAAGTGCCTGATCTTTTCTGGAATCTGTGATGATGTGTTGGCTGGCGGTTGTGAGCTTGGCTGGCACCAGCGAGTGGTAGCTCGGCCTCATCTGACGGCAGTCATATTCGTGCAGTGCATTTTCATTTGATGATTCAAACGTTCTCTGCAACGCAGCATCAACAGCAAGTGGCGACAGCCGTGGAACGAGCCAAGCAAGTCACCATGACTGAACTCAACGCCATTATCGGGGTACGTGAGTGGCTTACGCGCGCCGATAAGTGGCGGTCAATTTCCTGGCTTAAATGTCTGGAAAATCACTAGCATAATTAACTCACAAGTGGCAGAAGGAGTGAGGTAAATTTCTTGCATTTTTATTGGTTCCGCGCATTTGATTATCTTGAGAAAAATGAGCGTTATGTTTTAATAATTTCTAACAGTTTGTGGTGAGTTTTTTTTAATTTTTAGAAACAAACGATGTTTGTTGCATGTCATGACCTTTCTTATCACATTATACGAAGTTTCAGTGTTTTTTCTCTTTCTTTCCTTCATTTTTGTCGTGGAGAAGGAGGGGTAAAATTATTCCGCATGCGTTGCTAAGATTGCGTGTATTGTCCTGATAATGCGCAAGCTTAAACCGTTTATTGCGTAACTAGAAACGAAACCGCAAGTGCAGCATGCGCAGGACGTACTCTCAAAACCCCCTTGAGCTTTTTTCTTTTCTTTTTTTGTGAGGGGTTCGTTTATTTTGGTAGACACAGCCAAATGAATCTAACAGACAATTATGCCAAGGAAAGTATAGGAGACGTTGTTTCTTTTTAAAAGCTGTGGTGTGATAATTATGACATACATTGAAATGAATAAATGTAAACGATAAAGCAGCCCCTTTTTTTTTCGGAGTGATTTGAACCCACAACCACCGAATTAAGCGTCCGATGCCCTACCAATTGATCGAAACTTAGTTGACGACATTAAAGGACTACGAATTGCGTCCAATCACAACCAATTGCGTTTGTGTCTCCTCATTTCTAAAGTTTACTCTTGTAATTCTGCGACGATCAGCTCTCTGCCGGAGTAGTAGAGAGGCAATTACGCTTAATCAGTTCACTAACACGCCGTAATGAGTGACATACCGTGTCTCCCATGCGTATAGCTCTGACAAGCAGCTATCCTTGACACCCTTGTTGAAAGCGGCGCGCGCGGCCGCAGTACGCAACCCCCTGTCTATAGCGAGATCAAACTTGAGGGTGCAGTACTTTGAAAGAGCCTACGTCCCCACAGCCCCGATGCCCTCTCGCTCGTGTCTCCGGCGGATGAATTCGGCGGAAATGGGGCGAGTGTAGAGGTGGGGGAACTTGCTCGGTTGTTCCATTGACATCGCCTCGCCGCGCTCCCTCGAAGGCTTGTCGATGTACGCGGAGTTGCCAGCGCCCGGCGACCTACCCTCCTCCTCCATCTCGGTGAAGGCGCTTTTAGCCCCGCATGGGGAAACGGTGCGCGTGTGCGATTACCGGCCCCGCGAGGTTGGCAGGGGCGACCCGCGGTGAAAGGGCCTTGCGCAATAGCGGTTGCGGCGGCGAAGGTGTGGAGGGGGAGCCGGCGTGCTAATCCGCCGGTGGCGGTCGGGGAGGCATCGATCGCCCCCGGCGAGTGCTCATTACGCGGCTTGTCTGCTGGCGCCCTCCTCCCTCCGACGCGGCCGATTTAATTATCCGCGCGGCGAGCGCTTAATCGAGACGCCCGCGAGAAGAGAGTGAGAGTGTGCTGCGTGGTGACCGGCGTGTTGGTCTCTTTTCAGCAGCAGCACACCGGCCTGGCGCACCTCATGGTGAGTAGGAGGGCTCCTCCACTCTTTACCGCCTCCCATTTTCTCTTCCCCAGTAGAGGGCGGGGGGAGAAGCGTTGCGGTTCCTGTTCGCGAGGCCCTCTCTTTCAACGATGCCTCCTGCTCTCCGCCGCATGAATGGGATAACGTTGCCTGCGCTGGGATCGAACCGCTCAGTGGGGCGCGCTGTCCAGTTGGGAAGGGTGTTTGGATTGCACCGATGCTGGATTATTGGGGCAGATTAAAACGGTAGAACCTAGTTAAACAGCGTGCACTACGCATCTCAGGAAGAAAAAAGTAAAAAAAAAAACGAGAAATAGCTCTCTTTCTGAATTAAAGTCGCCCACCCAGCTAAAGCAGGGGTGCAACAGCTGCGTCAATTTGATACAATTTCAGGCTGTTGCGCCGAACTGCGCCAAAACCGTGAAATTTGCTGAACTTGCGCCACGCTGCGCCAAAATGCCCAGCCAGCCTCAAACTTTTCTCAGGTGCGCTAATTTCGACGAGAAATGCAGGCCACGTCGGCCACCTGTAATTTGCGCCATCCGTCAAAGCGTGCAGACCCCAACTATAGTGCCTATAATGTACTTAAAATATGACCAGATAAGGTAACAATGATGCGCGCCCATCGGTACGTTGACCGCAGCGGATATCCATCGGGGGGGACGACAGAACTTTGGGGCGAAAATGCATTGCTGTATCCACCAATGCTTCGAGGGAAATGCAAATTTTCTAGCCTGAAAACGCGGCTATGGCTTGTTAGGAACTCAAGCTGGAATCGTGTGCAGCGTTTTTTTTTTTTTTTCGCGTGAACAAGTTCAACATGCTGCGAACACCAGCGAGCATGTCGATTGCCCTAGCAGTGACACATAAGTTGTTCCGGCCATAGTCCTGGCGTCGATACCAGTACCGTCGCCGGGCAAACAGGCGCACGCTTTGTAACTTTACCTGGTCGAACGCGCTTTGAAAGGGAGCCGAAACAGTGCATAAACCCGTCCCCCTCTCCCCCCGCCCCGGTGAAAGAAGAGAAAAAGGTGGGAAGGGGGGGGGGGGGGTAGGCATAGCGGTTAGAAAATTTCTTGGCTCTGGTTCTAATGCGTGCAGAGAATGCTGCTCAAGCTACCTTCGCCGCAGTACACCGGTGCCCAGTGGAAAAGAATATTGAGTTTTCAAGGTGCTGTTAGCGCTATTCACAGGACACTGAACATTTTGCTAGGCTGCTCGTGAGTTTGTACGCCGTATAATTCTGAGTACCAGTATTATAGCTGACGTCTAAATAAGCTACTGGCAATTATGTGAAACAGTGTATGACATTTCTGCTCCCCCACCCCCCCAAAAAAACTAAATTGTGCACCAGTTTTCTTTTTTCCACCCCTACTCCTTGGCTTTACAATCCTCCCAAATTTCAAGGTCGCAAGCTTGGCAGATCCATATTTAAATTCGCAGAGACTGTCAAATGACTTGACAGGCGCAGCAAATGCTAATATTGACTTCATCACTGCTTGCTCAATGCGGTGGTTCAAAATACTACTTTCATTGAAACAGCAGTGCTCATGTTCACACTGGACAATTTAGATGTCGTTGAATGATTTATACATATTTTTATTTAAAAATGTAGACCTTCTTATTTATACTGCTTCAAATTTGGTATTTTATAGTAAAAAAATGTGTTTTTTTTTTTTTCACCGAACCTGCTCAAATTTGAATCTTAGTGCTCCAAAAGTAACGTTTCGCTGCTCCGAAAATTGCTCCAAATTGTATTTCGGCTGTTGCACCCCTGCTAAAGGATTAGAATAGAACTAGAGCATTTCAATGAAAATTTTCATTTATAAAAAGTTGAGATCATACGAGGCACTTTTCTTTCTGTATTACTCCGTTATTTTTAGGAAAAGTAATTAAGAATGGTGAACAAAAGAGCAAAAGAAAAAGAAAAAACTCCATCAATGCAGTGACACTCTGTTGCAACTGTGTAATGTGGCCGTACAAGAAGGTATGATAATTTCTACCGTATCAAATGCAGGACAAAGTTCGCACATCATGCTTAGATATGTCAATATCTAACACGATGAACTTGTGCAATAGGCTTTTGCACATCTGGCGCCGTGGTGGCTCAGTGGCTATGTTTAAACTTACACTGCGTGCTACAGTACATAGTGATGGGTGAAATCGAGCAGCAACAGGATTTTTTTTTTTTTTTGCTGAGTTGTAAGGGGTAGATGGAGGGAGGTGGTGTACTTAGGCTTTTTGCTACTCCCGCAGAATGTATTTAGGCGAAAGCACCCAACTACTTACTATATGGCATATCTGCAGAGTTTGTGTGTTGCTTTGTGATGATAAACATTGTAGTTTTTATTTTTTCAGTGGTGACAAGCTTATTGAGATATAATTTTTAATTCATCTATTTAGGTCGCAATATCTGTATTGAGTGTGTGGAGTTAGGGAGATAGTAGTGAACATGGTGCTTAAATTTTTCTTGAGCCTCTTGATTTCCATAGCAATTTAGAGCCTAAATGAAATGTATGCATCCAACAATGACAAAGACTGAACCATAAAATAACCATCAATGCCTATATGTAATCTTAGTGTTATATTTCTTGCAACTATTTAGTCAAAGTCAGTTTGTTATATAAGTGTACATTGAATTGCGAAACAGGAACAGATGAGGGTCCCATAGTAGAAGACTGCAGTTGGACCATAAATAATACTTAACGAGAATCAATAAAAAAGTAAATTAGTGAACCAAGAACAAGAACATGTATAAAATACAAATAATATCTAATTAAGAAACAGTGGCCTAGTATGATAACTGTATACAGCTAGCTAAACTAATTATAGCACAAATGATTCAAGATTAGAAATGAGAAGCTGTGTAAGTAGTGATGTGCTGTATAAATAGTGATATCATATCGATACCTCAGTAAAGTCCCAATGAGCTTACCGCCACAAAGTTACCATTGTCAAACAAAGGATGAATGTAGGTAGTTAAAGATGATATATCTACTACGTTATTAGAATTTTCAGTGCCCAGATCAAACTGTAAAGTGATTGTGACTTGACAAACTAAATTTTTTATATAAGCAATGAACTGCTTAGAAAACAAATTTTCAACAATTTTGCTAATTGAACAAACAGAACTAGGAATATAAATAGACACTTCAGATTTATGGCCTTTCTTAATAACTATCGCAATAATATCAGCCTTTTTTAGTGAACATGGAAAAATACCAATTCTGAAAATATGATTATTTATATGTAGTACTAAGTGTCTCGGATGTTAAAGGTGCGATATGTTTTGAATGGAAGACAGAAATGTATTCTAAACCAGTGCTGGTGTCCCTTAGAGCTAATACCACAAAGCGTTCTTCATCGGCAGTTACTGGGGAAAATAAAAAAGAGTGATTACATTGTGTTTTTGGATAAACGGGAGCTATTTGATGGCTGTTTATGATATGAAATGGAAATGGCCACTGAAGAGAATTTGCTGTGTTAGAAGCATCACTTATAGATTGGCTCTTGTAAATTATACTATTGCGTATATTAATACTAACAGTGTTTGCCAAAATCATAATGGCATTAAGTTGCCATAGCTTACACTTTGTAAATTTATTACTGATTTGATTCCTTCTTCCGTGCGTTTCTTTTCCTCCCCTGCAGCAACAGATGCAGGCTCAGCAGCTCGCGCATGGGGGCCCTGGTGCCATGGGTCCGCTGATGCCACATGCATTGGCCCTAGGGCCGCCCAACAGTGCGGCCAGCCTGCTCGCTCTCTCCTCGGGCCTGGCGCCCGTGGCCGCACTCAAGGAGCACGACAAGCGGGCTGCTGCAGCAGCTGCTGCTGCGCAAGGTGCATACGCTGAGCCACTGGTTTTGCACAGAAAAGCGATTTCTCTCCGATTAGTTAATTGTTCTGCCATAATTCTGGAAGCACCAGTTTTACAGGAACATGCTTGGTAAGCGATGAAATGCACAAAGGGATCATACATGTGGCACCGCAACCTTGGTATTCCTGCACCAACGTGCAGCAACGTCACATATTTCGACGGGGTTTGTTGGGGCTTACATAATTTTCATGAGTGAAAACATTACATTGTGCTCTAACGAAGCAAGACGTTTCAGATAGCAAGCTTTATAAAATGTTATTGAACCAATTTGTCAAAAGCACGAAAAAAAAATAATGTTGAGATCAGTGACACAACAATGTTCAGGTGCTGAGATATTAGCATGAAATTCAAGAGGGACGCTTTGAATATGACATCCGTTTCATTCCATACTATAATGAGCCTGCAATGGCAAAATCAACTACAATAAAGTACCTAAAGAATTTTCATAATCTTAATTACATAAATTTCTTGCTAATGAACCTACAGTGGCTTAATTGACTAGAATAGATAGAGTTCTTAAAGAATACTTATCTTGTTTCCATAAACTTAGCTTTTCACTTTTCTATCAGTTTAAGGAATAAAAACAGAGGCACTATCAGGAGGAAATACCTTCATTCTGTAGCCATTGTATATCTTGGTTTTGTATACCAATGACCATCGCTGTCATGACATGTCCATCACTGTAAATTATTATAAAAATGAGTTCGTGTTTCCTTACACAGAAGAAGAAAGCAAGAGGTGTTAGCAGCATTGGCTGCAACTTTTAACATTGATTGTGTGGGAGCTGCTACTTGTTAAACTGGTGCTTCTTTGATACACTGCTTTAAAGTCACTGCCATACTGGACGCTCATTTTTATTTAAATTTTTGTCTTGTCCTTTTCTTTCATATGGACTTTATCCTGGATCAACAGCCGCTGCTGACGATAGGGTGAGTGTGATACCCACTGCTCAAGCTATGAGCCAGTATTTGAAGGATTGTTCTTTTAACTAAGAAATTTTAGTAAATGGGAGTTTATGGGTGTGCTATGTATGGGTTGATTGGTGTATTATGACTGCAACTGTAGTCAGGTGGCCAAAATATTGAGCACCAAGCAACTGAGCCGCAGCAGTTGCTTTTTTTTAAAAAGCAGCTGTTTACGACCTCCTGCGTGACAGTTAGCTTTCCAACCAACTTTGTTTTGCGACCTCTGTAAGTCAGTGGTACGAAAAAGCTCTGAAGCTTTATGCTAGGGTGTCTGTTTTAGATAATGTCACCATACTGAGCTTGTGTATCACTTTTCATGGCATCTCTATCGTAAATTGTTCCATGAGAGAGAGGATTTACTTACAGAAAGGTAGAGAGGTCGGCCTGAGCTATAGTTAGTTTGTTCCATGAAATGAGAAAGTGGCTCTTTGAGTGCTACACTGTCAACATGGTAGTGATTATTTACTATGTATTCATCTAACAAGTGGATGTTTATATGGATAGTGCATTTATATTCCTGTGCTGGTAGCCCAGTATGTCTAAAAAACTTTTCTCATTTGAACAGAGAAATTCACCTTCTCCACGTGATGCAAAGTTGAGAACAAGGACACCCGACACAGAATCTGACAAGAAGCGACGGAAAGAAGACAAGCACGATGTCATTGTTCATGTAAGATACTATCATGTTAAGCGCCAGCTATTTGTTCAGTTTTATGTCTGTCTTTTTTACGGAATCAAAAGCTTGAGCAGGAATCGGACATGAACTTCTTCTTTTCTATGCATGTTCTGTCTCTGTTATTATTGTGAGTGTGGGAATTAAATTAGAGACAACTGTGCACCTTCTCCACTGCTTGCTTTGGAAATTCCATGTTGAGCCTGTAGTGTAACACCGGTCACATGATGCTCCTTCTTTGAATAGAAAGTGAATAGGAGCAGCTCGCTGCATGGCCAAAGCTCGTAATTAGGCTTCGTGATGATTAACTTTCTTTCTCTTAAATTTTGTTCTTCCTGCAGACTCTCATATCTGAAGTATGCCATATTTATTTTCAGGACAACGATGATGAAAACCAGGAGGTTGACGTTGCAAATGAGGTGAGCATCTTGGTGCATATAAAGGGCAGAGGTTACTGAGTGCCATTGCCTTTAATGTAATTGAACTAGTTGAAATAGTTCTGTGGTTCAGTGGCTGTAGCATTATGCCTATAAGCTTGAAATCACAGTTTATATCTCAATTGTGTATTGCATATTGCAATTGCAATTGCGTATTGCGTATATCTCAATTGCAAAATGATTTCGGGTAATGGAGATAGCATAGAAATATTCAGGTGCTATATAAATGAGGACCACTGAACTTGTCCTTCTGACAACTGCAGTTGTAAGATTTCTGTAGGAATCCTAAGGCATAGGTGGTAGTGTTCCTAAGATTAGGTACACATAAAATCCGGGGATATGGCCGAGCATCGTTTCAGTTGCCTTTGTTGCTTTGAGCCTCTTCGACCACTGAGTTTGTGATGTGTGATGTTCCAGGACCCTGTGTCTCCTGCTAACAATGGAAGCTTGTCACCACGAGAGAATGGCAGTGAGCGCCCCATCAAGCGGGAGAGGCCACCTAGTCGCTCAGGCTCATCATCCAGCCGTAGTACCCCTGTCTCCTCAAAGTCCACAAAGGATGGCTTGGTGAGGGCAGCCTTGATTTGGTCAGGTTTTTTTGGAGCATGCATTTTTTAATGCCGGATGAGGTCTTTTCATGTTCAGAAGTAGGATACTCACGAAAACTTCTTTCGTTGAATCAAAATGTTTCACTGCTCCAGTTAAGCAAGAATATAAGTTAGTTCGGGTAAGAGAAAGTTGATAAGATGTGAGAATATCCAAAACTGCCCACACTCATTTGATATGTGCGCCTCAGTGCAGTTTTCTACCTTCCACACTGTACAGGTGCCACCAATCTGCTTTTGACAAAAGTGACTACATATGTCATACATATGTTGGCTTTGCTTTTTGTGATTGCTCAACTGTTCAAGTTCAGCCATTTCAGTGCAGGTACACATGTATATTTGTGCATTTCTTTGGGTCCATTAATTGTTTGAATCTGGATAACTTCAAAAAGAATGTTGTCCCTGTGAATCTGCATTACCTAATTAGAATTTACTCCATTCAAGTGCTATCTTCCAGTAATGCATGTGCATTGTCTGTCTTCTAACATATAAAGGTACTAAAAGTTATTAACAATATTATAAGAAGTTTGCATGGAGGTCTGATTAAGATTGCATTTTTTTTAATATACACTTAGGTGTTCCTTACACAGGAAGGCTCATTACAAGCAGCCTGTTGGCCCAGCTATCTTTTACATTGTGCACCATTGTTGTTTTGCCAGCTATCTTTTATATTGTGCACCATTGTTGTTGTTTGCGTTAATTTACGATGCCTGTTTATGTAACACTCTGCACATTGGACACCTCATTATATGCATTTCATGGGCATTACATGTTTTGCCATCCCGCTGGAACTGGCTTTTGTGCAGTGTGTCTAACTGTCTGCAATTCTTTTTTTTTTTTCAGGGTGATAAATCTCCCACCCCGGTGTCAAAATCATTAACCCCCACGAGTTCGGGCTCTACGACTCCTGGCTCTAGTGGTACAGCAAAGCCATCCCTGCCCGGTTCCTCTTCCAAATCAGCTGCCCTTGGTGAGCCATTGCTCTCTTACAAGTGGCCACAGTGGCTTGTTGCAGGGCCTTTAACAGTTAGCACTTAACTTTTTACATGGTAACGTAACTCTTACATTTATTTATTTGCAATTTGTAGGTTGTTTATTTTAGTCTTATCATGACTTAAAAATCTTGTGTGTAGAGTAATACAGTAGACTTTTATTAAACAAAACCTGAAGGGACGCAGGAAATGTGTTCCATGTACAGTCGAACTCCACTACAACGAATGCCGCTTCAACGAAATTTTACAAAGCAATTCCAGGCTCAGATACTTACTGCTATGCAGTAAACCCAATCTTTAATTTTTTTATCTATTTTCAGAGCCTGAAAATGCGTGAAATAAGTCTAAAACATGCGTTAGCACCAACAGAAACAGTCACTATGCCACCGCTGTTCAGCAAGCACTGGGCATCGCCATTGCTCGATAGCGATGGCAATGAGACTGCCCTGCTTTTGCTTTGCCACTGGCTTGCTTCTGAGCCGCAGACGATCCGAAGCTGAAGCTCAATCGCTCAGTTCATGGTTTCTTTTTCGCAGCTGCTGGGTGCAACTACAGTGTCTAGAAATATACTGCCAGTAATATTTTTAGGCACTATAGTGCAACCGCGGCACGATGCCTTTTCCAATTCCGATGCTTATCATTATGTTCGCGCTTGGCCAGTGTGGTAACTAATCAGAGTGGCTGTTCGTCTGCATTACCAACAAAATCAGCTAGCCGCGAGTGATAGATGATAAGAATGGCATAGATAATGCAAAAGTCGCCACATCACGATACCCTGCCTCCATCTCGGCGTTGTCAGATACTTTTGACGGTGGACAGCTGCTGGTGTTAACAAGTTAATGCAACTGTTTGGTTTGTTCACGAAAGCGGTTTTAGGCGTTGTTTTAGTGCTTTTTACTGTGGCCTCGCTATGCATGAATGAGAATCACGTCGTGACGCTGCTGGAAAAAAATAGGAAGCAACGGACATTTTTTGAATTCTGGGAATAAACGTTCCTCTGTTTTGCTAGCTCATATCAGCGATATTTTTTCTATTTCACTACAACGAAATTTTCGCTTCAACAAAATTTGTTCCGCGCCCCGTCAGTTTCGTTGCAGCGGGGTTCGACTGTAACAGGAGTTTTGTTTACTGACAGATGACACAGGGGTGCAGAATACAAGTAAAACCAATCATATCAGAGATAGTTGTTTCATTTCCGTTTAACAGACTTCAGTTTACAGAGAGTCTACAGTATTGTTAGTTTTAGTACCTGTACACATATGTAGCTTATTTCAGAGAATCCTCAGTTTTCGTAATGTTACAGCATTCTTGTGGCTCAGTCTTGCTTCTGGCTTTCCTTGCATCTGCGAGGAGTCTCAGTGTGAATAAGACAAGAGATGAACACACACTACGCATGGTCGCTGATAATGTTGAATGAGACCAAGAAAGAATTTATTGACGATTTTATTTACGTGTATATCTGTATAAGCTCTTGTGTACTGTGTGTGTTCTTTGTCCCTTGTCTCAGTCACACTCTGCCTTCTTACAGCTATGAACAAACTTTGCCAATTCAGTCTTATTGCATTTACAATGCCAGAGAAATTTAGGGATTTCTGCAAATAGGCACAATCGGAATTGTTTCGTTTCACTAAGATTGTAATTATACGGGCTGGTTGGTACACGGTTTTTGGAGAGGGGAAAGAAACACAACAACAACAACAAAAAAACATTGACAAGTCATATTTTGAAGGAATAATGCAACAAAAGCATTTCTTTCCTTGTCTCTCTTTATTTTTTGTCACCTCGTGTGTTTCACTTGTGCTTTATTCCCTGTCAATAACATTGTATCAACGACTCCATTTTTTTGCACTGTTATTTTTTTGGGCCTTTTGAGTAGGCAGGGGTAGTATCATTGTAGGGAATCGCTCATTGATCCCAGTCTTGTGTTGTTGCAGGTCCCTACCCGTACCCTTTGGCTGGAGCACCACATGCACTGGCTGCAGCTGATCTGGCAGCTGCTAACCCTGCAGCCTTTCCTCAGCTGCACAGCTCAGCGCTCAGTTCCTACTCGCGATCTCTGGTGGGCACCTTTAGCGGCCACCCCATGAACCGGCCATGGCTGGACATTCCATGACTTTGTTTGGCACCACAAGCTTATTGTAGAGAAAGAGATACGGTCTCACACCCTTTGTTTGCACATATATTTTACTCAGGCTTCACGGCAAGGTGGAATGTCTTGGTGTGCCTTATTTAATACTGCACCACTGCCCTCTTTAAATTTATTAGCTGGTAATCAAATTCGTAACCTGTCTATTAGTGGTGGTCATGCTACAGTCCCTACGACCCCACACTGTGTCTAAGAAGCCATTGTCTGTGAACAGTGGTATCAGAAAAGACAGCTGTGATGGGAAACGTTGTATGATCTGGCTGCGTGTTGTGTGAAGTAAACGTTGGTATAAAATTGCCTTTAAAAATATGCGGATGAAAGAAAATATTTGTGTAACAAAATTTTCTCAAAACAAAGCAGCGGAAAGCACTGATTATCTTTTTAAACTTGTTGGAATTGAAAGCACAGTTTTTTTGTGACTGCAGTGCTAGAACCATGGCCTCCAAGCTGGTTTATAGGGTGGGTTAGCTCCAACATGAGGCAATGTGCTGGCGATGATGGAGGCATACGAGATTGTGTTTGTTGTTTTAGTGGAGCGTAAGGAGAAAATGCAACCGTGTAAGTCAGCAGTAGGGTGTAATAGGGGAAGCTTCCCCCATCAAGACACACTAGCACCCCTGACGCCCTCCATACACATTTGCACTCTCCTCCTTCCCTTGCAGTGATGCCAACTGATGCCCCAAGACAAGATCGTGCTGAGTACAACTTGCCTGCAAATAGCTTAGACAAGCTTTCTGAGTCGAACGTTCCTATCCCAACTGAGGAAAACAGCCTTCACTGAAGTACATTCTATATAAGCTTAAGTGGGCTCACGATTCATCACCTGTTAATAAATTATGTTATGTAAGATGTGAAAACATGTCTACAACCAATGGTAGTGCTCTTGTTGTCCTAGCAAACTCTTATGCATAGCTTACTACAGCTAACAGACAGTTTGTTCCACCCACATCTAAATGTTGTGGGCAAATTTGAATATGTGAAATTTATAATAATTTTAATAACAGCAAGACGTCTTAGGAGAGCTAAACAAAGTTTTTTCGTTACTTCTTAATTTCTGCATATGGGCATGGTGAGCTTTAGCTTTTAGTGTAATTTGTATTGGTCTTTGTTTTGCAAGTAACGCCAGCCCAGCGTCTCCATAATTTCAGATTGAGAATGATATCTTCAGCGCTGAAGTATTTATGCTAAAGTGTTCACATTTCTATATCTTTGTTATTACAAGCTTCGAAAGGCGCATAGCAGTGTGTTCAAAGGCAGCACTAGAGAACGGCCACTGCATCATGCATTGAAATGCAATGGACACAAACGCAAAGCTAGCTATATGTATGAGTTCATTGCAATTCGATGCATGATGTAGGGGCTCTCTCGCGCTACATTCAGGCTACACTTTCGAACGCACTTTTATATGCGCCTTCCCAAGTTTGTAATAACAAAAAGATAGAAATGTGAATGCTTTAGCATAAATACTTTAGCGCTGAAGACATCATTCTCAATCTTAAACTGGGAAAATGGTGATGCTAGACTTCCACCATTATTAGTTCATTTAAGGATGTGCACAAGAAACCGAGTTTCTGGATATATATATATATATATATATATATATATATATATATAAGGGAAAGAAGTGTATACCTAAGGGCTCGTTTTTTCGTGTTTTGACACAATAATAATGAGATCTAACAGACAATAATGCCCAGGAATGAATAGGGGAAGTTATTAGAACGAACGTAATGTAAATAATAAGAAAGAAAAGTGCGTGAAAAAAATAACCTACCGTGAGCAGGAATCGAACCTACGACCTTCGAATAACGCTTTCGATGCTCTGACCACTGAACTATCACGGCGACTTTCCCTCACCCACTTTTTTTGGGTTTTATATGTGAATATAAACGTGAGAGTGGCAGTCAGCGCTATCTGTAGCCAAGCGGCGAGTGTGAAACACCCTTTTATCAGCCTTTGTGGCGTCACGTAGCACGTGAACTATATATATATATATATATATATATATATATATATATATATATATATATATATATATGTGTGTGTGTGTGTGTCTGTGTGTGTGTGTGTGTGTGTGTGTGTGCGTGCGTGCGTGCATGCGTGTCGATATATTTTTCATTTCACACTTTACATAGCTGCTGCCATGCCTGATGGAGAGTTGCTTCCTTTTTCTGTTTGATAATGAATCAAGGTGTGAAATTGACATAGGAAACAAAAGACATGCCATAATAATGGAAGGAGTGGTGCCATTGCCTGGTCGTGGGGTTGGCCGTGTCTTGCATGGAAGCATGACTGACCGACGCTGAATTGCAGTTGTCCTTATCGCAGGTTGCAGGCTTTGATGCGCATCCCTCGTTGCGGCCACCACCTCATTTTGGCACCATTCCTGGAGGAAAACCGTGAGTGAACATTTAAATTTCTTCAGTTACTCTAAGCATTTAGTGGCCCACATGCGAGTGTGCATGTAAAAAAAAAGTAATATGTGATAGAGAATCAGTGAATCTTGTTCTCCTCCCGCTTTCATAATGAAGACTGACTTTCTTCAATTTCGGTGCCTCACCAGAAGCGTGCTTCTATGCACAGAGGGTAGCTGCAGGAACTATGCCTTTGTAAGTCAAATTTGCACTAAATCTGTGGACTTGTCTTCGAGTATACATTTCCTTCAGAGTGTCGTTCCAACTGTCGCATGCACCACAAAATTTACTAACACAAGAGGTGAAGAAGAAGCAAATCATACATTTTCAAGAACACATGTAGGTACATTTCTGTTGTGAAATTGGGTAATGTACTCTGAATGGTATTAAAATAGTACAATTAAAGATTAATATCTTAGTTATTGCTTTGTGATGCAAGCGTCTCATCATGCAGTGATCTTCCTTCTTCGTTTTAACAGTAATGAATTATATGAGGCTAATCTCTGGAATGACTATCTGTTTTTCAGTTGGGTTGACTTGGTCTCATGAAATTATGAAGAAAAGTGTAGTTTGAGTTGTTGTTGCGGTTGTCTGGTTTTTATAGTTTTCATATATGTAATCTGCGTGACACCACTAAAATTTCATCAAACAGTGAATTGGTGCCTGAGGCAGATGCGTTGCAATCCTATGATGTCCCATAGGCAAATAGATGTTTGTACATTTGATTTGTTATGCTCCACCACCTGAGAAGCCAGGCAGTAGTTATTCATTTTGTTTGATTCATTTATTTATTTATTCGTTTATTTATTTATCGATAGGCAGGAACTAGCACTATGCATGCAGATTGAAATGGAGCACAGTACAAAATTATCTTGGTGCAGCATTTGTGTGGTTCTTTCTTCGTTTCAGTTTTTTGCGCTAAATTTTACTGGGAGGCTGAACCAACTCGCCCAACAACCCGTTTTTCTGAAGTGCAAAATTAGTGGAGATATTTAACCCCTTTTAGCAATGTTGTCACAATATTGCAATGCACCCATGACTCCGAGAAAGCTCATGAGAGCCTTTTATTTAGATGCCATGTGTGACCATCTGGTAAAAACCTCTCATCTAATTGACATTTCTGATGAAAGAAAAAAAAGTTTCGGCAGCTTCACACTAGCGGTGCCAACCTGAAATAATATAGCTGCACAGCCCTCCTAGTTTCTCTTTATTTTTTCCCTATCTTTTTTTTTATTTTTTTTCTCTGTCCGTTTATTGTCTCTGTTATTTTCATTTACTTATTTTTGTGTTTATTTCTATTTCCTTTGCACTTTTTTAAATCGCTTTCTTCTATTTTGTTTCTCGCTCTTTTTCTCTGTCCTTTTCTGTCTTGCTCTCTGCTTCTTTATTATCTCTTTTTAGTGCCTGTTTCATCTCTTTTTCTCCTTGTGTATGTTTTCTTAATAAAACTTTTTGTTTGGCTAGTTGGTACATGCTTACTGAAGTACAATAATACTTGCATCATCAAGGAAGAAAATTGGGGACTGACACCCTTTTTTTCTGTACAAATTTTTTTCCTCGATGATGAGCATCCTTTTGTATTTCAGTAAGTATATTTTTTCTTGGTCTTTCTATCTTCTTTCTGCTCTTTGTACTCTTTCTGCTGCCTATTTGAGTTATTGCATTCCATGCCGGTCAAATTGGCTCTCGAGAGACTTTTCATCACTTGGAGCAGAAGCTGAAGAAGATGAAAGGAGTGTGCACAGGCCGCGTTGCACAGGAAAGGTGGAGGCCATTCATGATGATGACAGAGTTTTGTCAACATATAATGGCGTAAAAAAGAGCATAACAGCTGCGCTGCAAAATTTCATTCCACATGGTTACACCAAGGAGGGGTGAATGCTTAAAAATCCTGTGTGGCCTCTATCTACAGGGTGTCCCACATAACTTGAGCCAAGAATTTCAAAATGAAACACACTTCGGTGGCGAATTGAACCAAACCTGTACTACTTGCACTAGCTTGGAGGTACTCAGGCTATTTTTTCATTTCTCACCATACTAATTTATTTAATTAATTAATAATTCCTAATTACCTATTTTTAGTTATGGGCTGGAAACCCAAATTATGAACACTGAGATGTAGAACACTTTCAGAAGCCACAGAATAAACTGTTTCTTGTATGATACGTCTAGCGCTGTTATTTTTTCAGCATTGTAAAGAAAACCCATAGCAGCATTATAGCAGTGCGCTCGTGGTACGTCACACGGCTTCTTTTCACGTTTCGTAGGTATCGTACAGGAAACAGTTTAGTCGCTGGTTTCTAAAAGTGCTCTACATCTCAGTGTTCATATTTTGGGTTTACAGCCCATAATTCAAAAATAAGTAATTAATAAATAATTAATATGGGGAGAAATAAAAAAATAGCCAGAGTACCTACAGGCCAGTGCGAGTAGTATGCATTTAGTTCAATTCGCCTCCTAAATGCCTTTCACTTTCAAATTGTTGGCTCAAGTTATGGGTGACACTCTGTATAAAGATGCAAAAACATGCGAACACAGATAGTATTTTGTGCTAAAAGCCCTGTTTTAGTTCTTTTTAAATCTAGGCCAGAAGTGCCCTTTAAGGTTGTGATTAAAGAGTCTGGAAGCAATTTCGGTTGTACCAAGCTAAGAAAGAGAGAGAGAAAGAAAGAAAGAAAGAAAATGACAACCTGCAATTAGAACGCCTTTCTTTATGCAAAAAAAGAAGAAAAATGCAGGCTGCAAGAGGGAAAAGCTCAATTAGGTAATTTCTGCATTGTCAACGGCTTGTTACCAACGTAGTGAAACTGCCACTTAACTACTGCTCTGGAGTGCTTTGAGCGTAGATCTATTTTCCATTCTTATTGCTTTCAAAAGAACCAATTATTTCAAGAACTATAGAACGCTGCTGTAATTTCTGGAAGTGCTGTATGTAAAATGCCTTGGATACAGGATTAATGAAAACCAGCAGCTAATGCAGCTTAGGAAGGCATAAGGGATATCAGTTGTACTGTTTGAAGTGTATTTTAATGTTAGTGATGCAGGATTCAAGCATAGGCTTGCAGGGCATCTTGCGCTTGTGGATATTATTTATAGTGTAGCTTGAGCTTTAAAGAAAACAAAACATTGCCACCCTTTGACGAGAAAAACGCACTTGGACATTAAAACAACATCATGCAAATTAGTCTTCTTTATTGTGTATCCAGACTATCTGTAGTTCTCACTTTCGACTTGGTAATCCAATGTATGCCTTACAATGATTATTTTATTGGTTCAGTTGTGTTCCTAGTTGTCAGGAAATTATTTAACTGTCTGGGAGTAATTTGCAATGTTCCAAGCTCACATAATGACACTCGTCTGTAGCTTTACAAGGAGCGTGGTGACTGCAATTGTGTAGGTCAGGGTTGCAATACAGTGTGAATGAAGGGTCGTTGTTTGAAATCTTGCAGATGAGCCAGCCTCCCTTGATCGCCTGTCAGGTTGAAGAGGTTCTCGGTGAACACGAGCTTGAGCTTTTTAGGTGCATGAGGCCAGCTGTAAGGCACGAAAGAGGCCGTGGACCAAGAAAGACACCCTGTAAATTTTACTTGAAAAATAAAAGGCCCGGTTTTGTTGCAATTTGATTGGGAGTGCTTTATTTCGTCTGATTGCATCTCAATATTGACATTGGCAAGTCACTCCTGAAAGGGCCCCGGTGTCTGTTTGTGCCACGAGCCTCTTTACGTAGGCTAGGGAGCTGATATGTAAAAGGAAAGGCTCAACGTAACCGTAGGAAGTATCCATAATGTGTAAATGCTCGGTATTTCTTCATGCCTTCAGTTGTATAAGTAAAGGCAGCACTACAGTCACTCAGTCATAACAAGCGAGTGCCTTAATAGGACACTAAAGTCAAATTACAATTGAAGTCAGAGCTCAATGTATGACAACATCTAAAACGGCAATATCATCAACAGCAGTGCCCTACTTACAGAGAAATTAATGTAAATGCACGAGTACACATGAGTCACGAGTAGGACATTCGTAAAATGATCCTGATTACGTCAGACTTAACGTCTCCAATTAATCACTGGTAACTGAACTAGCAGCTCTAAATAAAGAACCTTCCATGCATTGAGAGATGTAATAAAATGCTGCTTGTTCGTTTCTATTTGATTCATGGAAAAAAGAACCGCTGTACGTTACTATGGGCTCCCGCTGCTTTCGTTCTGCTGCAACTAGTGTCGGTGGCCGTGCAGTAGAGCCGGGCAATGTTGTGCACGGCAGCAGTGATGTGAGACGTTCTGCTTGAGGTGGGTAATTTGAACTGCGCTAACCCGATGCGGGCCACTAAAACGTAGCTTTATTTCAAAATAAGCACTTTCTTGGCACGAAAGTAGCACTACGAGGTTTATGGACCGCCATTTCAGCAATAAACGTCAACTTAATATTTGACTTTAGTGTCCCTTTAATCTGACTCATAGGCTCATGCCAAGATTCAGAATTCTAACTGCAAGCAAAAAGTGGCAGCACTTGATGTGCTGCAGTAGTAGGTCATCAGAACTACGTTCTATGCATCAGAAGCTATGTGCAATTCACACCAACCAGATACTAAAACAGATAGAGAATGTTCATCCATAACCCATTGCCAATTCCCATCTTTGCTACACCATCTGAATAGAATATCCGTAGGAGAGATTAGTGGTGCTCAAGGGGCAAGTATACCTTCTGTGCATCAAGCTTGCAGCTGCATTTTGTGCTTGATTGGTTGATGTGAGTAATGGCTTTTGGTGCTCTGCACAAAGACAATGAGACAGATTGCAGGCATTGTCTACTATTGCCATTCCAGGTTGTATACTACTGTATCATTGCAGGAACATGATTAAAGCCATAGCTATTGCATAGCCTTGCCTTTCATATAGCTATGTTTGGTTCTGTTTATAGAAAGCTGAGCTAAGGTCCAAACTGTGTTCCTCGACATTATTTTACCTGCTAATACTGTGGAATGG